GCCAGAGGGGGCGTGGGCTTTTCCTAAATCTTGTCTGGGGTTTGGTAGAAAGGGGCTTAAGGTGACAGGTTCTGTTGGAGCCTTAAAATTTGGAGATACGTTACTTGTTTCTGTTAGGCTGTTGCTCTTCATCACCTTCTCATTTCAGTGGTGGAGTGGGAATCAGCTCGATGGGCCGAAGGCTTGAGTTCTACTTTTTGTTAGCTGTAATCACGGTGGTTAGTCAGCCTCTCTGGTCCAAGCTTTATCTGACAAGTGGAGAGATTATCCGTATCCACCTCTCAGAATTGGCGGCTCCGTGGAAGCCCCCGCAGGCACGTGGTCGCCCCAGAGTCAGGGAGGCGCAGGGTTGCACGCTGGCCTGAGTCGACTGTCGCCCCTCCCCTGGGCCCAGCCAAGCGGGTGGAGGGGAATGGGGTCTAGGGAACCCTGGGTCCCAGCCGGCCCTCTGACTTTGGCCTCAGCCGGCACAGCTCTCCTGCTTCCTTGGCCCCATCCCGAAGCCGTTAAAAGTCCTGTGCTCTCTGCTAGTGAGGCAAAAAAACTAAAAGTGACCCAGACCCCAGGTGAGAGATTCACAGTGGCAAGGGGAGCCAGCACAAATGAGAACATTTTTGTTGTGTTGGCTGCTGGGGATCAAAATCTGGATCTCCCACACCTAAGCATGTGTTCTGCCTCTCAGCTATAGGCCTAGCCTGGAAGTTCTTTTGGGGGAGCGGGGGTCTTGTTTCTTTCCCGTTTGGCTCCTTTGGTACTGAGGATTGATCCTGGGGTACTCTACTATGAGGATCTATCCCCAGTCCTCCTTGTTTTTTGGTACTGGGGATCGAACTCTGGTCCTTGCGCTTGCAAGGCAGGCAGCAGAACCGCTGAGCTAAATCCCCAGCCCTATCTGCAGTCCTTTTTATTTTTATTTTTATTTTGAGACACTAAGGGTCTCTCTAAGCCACTAAATTGCCCTGACAGAGCTCAAACTTGTGATCCTCCTGCCTCAGCCTTCCAGAATGCCAGGATTACAAAGATGTTTTTGAAGTATGGCCCGTGGCAGACATGGAGGCACTGTCAGATAAGGAGGGTGGTATCTCTGGGTCTAAGGGCACATGGGGTGGGTGCTGCTTTCCATGAGAGCACCTCACTTCGCCCGCCACCTTGCCTGGCCTGTGACTGCTGTGCGGAGCTGGCCCCGTGCCCACAGTCAGGATGAGCCATGGAACGAGCCTCCCCTGAACAACCTAATATAGCCACGCCAGGGCCTGTGCTCCACTCTGCCCTGTCCCCCTGCAGGCAGTGCTGGACACTGGCTCCCAGTGGCAAGACTGGTCCGGGTTCCCCTGCTCAGGGCCTGGGCTTTCCCCACAGAGCCTTTCTGCAGAGGTGGAGAGGTTTCATGGTCAACTCAAATGGTGGAGCAGGGGACATGGGCTTCTAGAGCCTTCCAGGGAGCCCAGGGTGAGCGTCAGTACCCTCGGTCCGTGACAGAGGAAAGGCACAGTCACTTGCAGCTAAAGGTTGTATATATTATCAAAATCTTATGGAAAAACAGATACACAGCTATTTATACAACAGCAGGTGGGTGTGAGGAAAACGTCTGCTTTGGCATCCAACCTTCAGGTCCAGCGCTGTCTGTCTGTCTCCTCCTCAGCACGCACTGTCCAAGCCATCTGCCTCCCCATGGACTCTGGTACCCTCGATCCCCGTGCCATTGCCCCATAGAGTGCCACCGGCCCAGCAGCTTTGCCAAGGGCTCCTCAGAGGCCTGAATCCTTGCCCTGGAGGGCAGTGGGGCTGGGATGGATATGTGGTCCCTGGAAGCCATCTTTCCTGGATCGCAGGCCTTTTGCAGCATGCTGGCTCCGTGGGTCCCGGGCAGTGCCATCTTCTCTGCCATGTGCTAGAAGGACTCTTCTTGTCCAGAAACCTCTGCTCCAGGTGTCAAAGCAATTCTTGGAGAGCCTCAGAGACAAGAAAAGGAAAGTGAGAAGAGATGAAGCGTCCCGCCTCGAGTGTGGCCCAGGCCTCTAGCACTCCCATGGCCAAAGAGGACGGCCACGGCAGGTCAGCCAGGGGGCGGGCAGGGTCTGTGCAGCCCTGGGACGTGAGTCGGGTGGTCATGGCGTTGGCACCAGAGCCTGGCAGCCTGGTCCTACTGAAGCAGCTTGGGCACCTCCACCTGTAGGCAAAGCAGACACGGTGAGAGCAGGAGGGGTTGGTGGAGGCCTCTGGGCTCCCTCTGATGTCCCTCCCTGCTGGAAGGACCATACTCTAGACCGCTTAGTGTGTGTCCGAGGGGTGAGTGCGGGAGGTCCTGACGCCAGTTCTGTAACAGCTGGCTGTCACTCAAGGGCCACTGGATTATACTGGAGGCCTTTGGGATAGACTGGGTGGCAGGACCAGGCTGGTCCTGAGAGGTGATTAAGTAAAACCACGATCATTTGTTTTTCTTTTTTTAAATATTTGGGGGGGGGTACTGGGGATTGAACTTGGGACCTTGCGCTTACAAGGCAGGCAGCAGAACCAGTGAGCTAAATCCCCGGCCTCTTCCCAGTCATTTTTGTTTGGGGGACTGGAGAAGAGAGAACTTACAGGAGGGCCCACCGCCACACTCCTTGGAAAGTCTGTCTGTCCGTCTGCAGAAGTGGGCCTGACTGAGCAGAGGAGGGCAGAGTGTGGAGGGAAACACTGAAGGAAATTCCTTGAAGGGAGCATGGAGTCTGGCCTCTAAAGCCAGCTGGGAACGGCCTGGAGGGCCCTGGGAGTGTGCCTGACGTGAGGCTCCGCGTGTGTGCCCTTTCAGTGCGTCTCCTGCAAGCCCTGCCCACCTGGCCTTGTACACGCGCCCACACCACTTGCCTTCTTCAGCTGCTTGAGGTTGCTGGAGCGGATGGCGGCCAGGAGCTGGTCGCGCGAGTTCTTCTCCTGGGCAGGGAGGACTTTGTCCCCCATCTTCCTCTGCGTGGCCGGTGAGAGTGAATTCTTCAGGTTCTCCATGATAAGGGGAGGAGCCAGCGGAGGGGGAGGAGGGGGCGGGGCGGCAGGAGCACCCCCTTTCTTGGGCGAGTTCTTTGGAGAAGGCTTGGGTGAAGGCTTGGGGGAGCCCTTGGCCACGGCCCCGACCCTGGGCACCTCCAGCAGTCCCTTCTTCTCTCCGCTGGCCTCCTGGGCCTGCCTTTGCTCCTGCAGCCGCTTCTGCCGCTGCTTGTCCATGTTGCGGCTGAGCAGGTTGGTGACGGTCATGCGCGGCCCGGCCAGCTCAAAGTGGTAGCCCAGCTTGAGCAGCGTGGTGTTCTCCTTCAGCAGCTTGGCGATCTCCATCTCCGTCTTGCCCCCACAGATGTGCCGCTGGTTGTGGAAGCGCAGCTCGGTCAGTGTGCTGTTCTGGAGGAGGGCCCGGAAGATGGCCAGGATGCCCTTGCCCGTGATGTGGTTGGAGTCCAGGTTGAGGCTGGTGATGGTCTTGTTGGCCTTGAGCATGATGGCGATGGCGAAGGCCACGTGGTCATCGGCTCGCGTGTTGGCCAGGGCGAACACCTTGACCGCAGTGTTGAACTCCAGGGCCTCGGTGAACCGGACCAGGATCTCGTTTGTGATGCAGTCCGAGTTGTTGACGTTCACCTCGGTCGTCCCCGGGTCGTTGTTCTTCACCCTCTCCAGAGGTTCGTCAAATATGCTGGGAGCGGCCTCCTCCTCCTCTGCCCCGGCCGGGCCCCCGGGACCCTGCTTCTCCGCCGCTTTGGTCTTGCCCTCTTCCTTGACTTCCTTTTCACTCTCGGACTCCTCCTTCTGGACTTCTTCCTCCTGCTTCTTCGAGTCCCGGTCCCCACTTCCTCCTTTCGTCCCCTCATCCTCTTTTTTCCTGTCTGCGTCTGCACCTGCCCTTCTTATCCTCTCGTCCTCTCTCCTGGTGGCGCCTGTGCCCCTGCTGTCGCCGGTCGCCTTCTCAGCCTCTGTCGTGACCACTTCCTCTGGCTTCTTACCCTTGTCCCTGCTCAAGTCTGCGCTCCTGTCACTCCCTTTCTTCTCCTCTTCCCGCCTGGTGGCTGCTGTCCTGTCCTCTCCTCTCCCATCCTTCCCTGCCTCCTTCTTGTCCACTGCGGCCCTGACCCGGCCCTTGTCGACGCCCCTGATGAGCTTTTCTTCCTTGGGCTTCCCCTCACTCCTGCCGCCAGCTTCCTCCTTGTCCCTGGAGAAGCTTTTCTTTAAATTGCCCCTCTTCAGCTCCTTGCCCACGTCCGAATCCTGTCTGGGGCCCAGGGCTTTTTTGCTGGCATCTCTGCCCCTTTCCTCTCCGTTCTTGGCATCTGCACGCGTCTCTGCTTGCTTGCTTTCCTAAGAATTCAGAGAAGAAAAATAAACATGAAGATTTGGCTTCAGGAGGAGAGGGACGGATATGAGACAAGCCAGAGAGCACTTAGGTAACCATCCGAGCCTGGGAGGATACCCGGTGTTTGAAAGAGAGGACAGCAGCAGGGCAACGGGGTGCCCACTGCAGAAGACGGGCTGGCATCGGACTCACTCGGGGCCTCAGGGCCGTGGGATGGTAAAACGCACACCTGCGGAGGATGGGGAGGTTTGCACAAAGCCCACTTCCCTTCCCAGAGCATTCTCAGCCCCAAGTTGTCCGTTCCCATCACGGGTGATTTTATTTTATTTATTTATTTTTTATTTTATTTATTTTTTTTTTTTTTGAGACAGGGTCTTACAATGTAGTTGAGACTGACCTGAACTCACTGTGTAGTCCAGGCTGGTCTCGAAGTCACAGCGATCCTCCTGCCTCAGCCTCCCGAGTGCTGGGATGACAGGCGTGCGCCACCACGCCCAGCCACTGGTGATTTTAGAGGGGCTGTTTCAACAGTGCCTGTGTGAATATTGGAACCTGAGGCAGAGGGAAAGTCACTACGGCTGATCCTGTCTGTGGCATTAACTGGGGTGATCAAGCACAGGGCTTGTGACTGTGCTATTTCCCCAGACCTTTTTTTTTTTTTTTTTGCGACGGTACTGTGCTATTTCCCCAGTCCTTTTTTTTTTTTTTCTTTTGAGACGGTCTTGCTAAGTAAGTAGCTGGGGTGCTCGGGCTCACCTTGAATTTGCTGTCCTCCTGCTTAAATTCCCAGAATGCCAGGACTACAGGTGTGCACCGCCACCTGGTGTTGAGTTTTTAGTCATTATGGATTTTTAAAATGAATTTTTATATGAAAAAGTATACATGAATGATGCCTCATGCTTGTAATCCCAGCACTCGTGGAGGCTGCACCAGGAGGGTCACAAGTTCGAAGCTAGCTTGGGCAATTTAGCGACTTAGTGAGATCCTGCCTCAAAATAAAAGGTCTGCAGATGTAGCTCAGTGTGAAGGCCCTAGGTCCAATCCCTAGTACTGGAAAAATATATGTATGTAGCAGTATCAGTTATCTCACCCACAGAGCCTCCTCCCCTGGGGGGCATTCTGAACTCAAGGTGAGTGCCTCACACCCTCACCTTAGGCCTATCTCTGCCGCCAGGGGGTGTCAGGGGGTCCCAGACGCTGGAATTTGGTGAGACCATATATTTGTAGAGAAAAAACATTGAAGGGATCAAGATGTCGATGCTGACATTTTATCAAGGCTATTTATAAATTCTGTCTACCATCACCATCTTGTGAAAGAAGGAGCTACTTATAAAGAAGTAGGTAGAATGACTGCACTAAATATGTGTCTCTCTTAAAAAGTTTACAGTGCTGTCTTCTTTTTTTGTCTAGTGCCCAGGGCCTGGTGTATGCTAAGCAAGTGCTCCGTCCCTGAGCTACACTGCCAGCCCTAGTTTTTACTCCATAGGAAGAGTTGTGCTAAGGACAAACCCTCTGTACGCGGAGCCCTGACATCTGCTGGGTCCTCCCATCTAAGGAGCACTGTTCACATTGGGGTAGAGGACTCTCAGCTGTGCTTGGATCATGAACGCAAAGACACCATCCCCAAGTCCGCCAGGCACGACGGACACCTGAGTCTTGTTCACAGCACGGACCACCCAGCACCTCTACGTGGTTTTGTTTCTTCCACAAAGCCGCACGAGTCTGAGCTATTTCAAGAGGATTTGTTTCCATCCCCGCCCCCGGAAGCACAGCAAGCAGCAGCTGGCCCACCATGGGATGCTAAGTTTAACCATCCAACTGGGAAGGAGGACCCAGAGCACCAGAATTCCAAGGGATGCTAAGTCCTTCCTAGAGGTGTTTTAACAGAGACTGTGGCCTGGATATTGGAAGGATCTCCGTCTTTCAAGAGTGCCCAGTGAGCTGAGCCTGCTGACACATGCCTGGATTGCAGGTCACTTAGGGGACAGAGGAGGATGCAAGCCCGAGGACATCCTGGGTAATTTAAGGAGACTGTCTCAAAACTCAGGTAATAAAAAGGGGGTGTGGCTCAGCGCACCCTGGCTAGGTGAGGAGTGCTCAGTGGGCATGGGGTAGGGGAAGGAAGGAAGGAAGGAAAAAGCACCTCCTCACTCCCTCCCTTCTGGAGGAACTGATGGGCAAGAGTGGCCCATGCAGCGTTTGTACCTGCAGCCCAGACACACCTGCTGCAGGCCAGGCAAGACCTCCACACCTGCTAGAATCACAGTAGGCAGCCAAGGGCCCAGACCCTGGGGACAGTGCCTCGGACTGCGTCCCTGCCCGCCTCCTGGACTATGGTGAGCCATTATGGTGAGCCTTGACACAGGCCTAGCCATGATTGAACTTTGAGTCACCTCGCTGGCACAGACGTGCTCTCACCCATAGCCACGGGCGAGTTCAGCTGGTAGCAGATGTAACCCATAATGGTTGTTGTTTCCCTCTGGAGTGTGTGGGCGGTACCCTCGCTCCCATGTAGCCCTCGCTCCCTCGCTCCCGTGCAGCCCTCGCTCCCATGCAGCTGGAGAGTATAAAAGGAAGAGGTTCTGTAATAAAGCAAGCAAGGAACTTGAGAAGAAAGGCGCCTCCCGTCTCTCTGTCCTCGTCCTTTCAGGTTTAGGACCTGCTGGCAGGATCATGACGTCGCGGCTCGCGACACTGGACCAAGTGTCTGGCCATGCTGGGGGTCTCGCTGGGGCTGTGGAGGTGCAGCAGGGGCAGGACGCCCCTCCACTCACTCTGCCTTCCAGGAGCTGCATTTGGCCCCACAGTTCACCCCAGAGCAGAGACAGTGGTGACTTTGCTGCATGCAGATAGAGTGCAAATGAGGAGAAGAGTCTCCTGTAGGACCTTTTCACAGTGATCTGCACAGTTCAATCCCCCGTCCTCCCGTGTCCCGCTGCGGTCAAGGTCGCTGTCATGGATTCCGTCCTCTGTGAAGCTTGGCGGTGAGCACTGAGTGAATTCTCCTAGCCCAGGCCCCAGAGAGCAGCCTCCCCAGGGCAGACCCCTGCCTCTCCTCTCCTTCCCTTTGCCAGAGTGCCCAGCCAGCATTTCTCAGCACCCACTGCACTTGGAGGAAGGGTGGAGACCCAGAGGGATGACAACCAGCTGTACCCAGCAGGTTCGGGACAAACTGGGGTTCAGGACTGGTTGTCTCACCAGCAGCCACCAAGTCGGTGGAACTGTTCCTGACCCTCCCCACTGGGACCGAGCCTGCCCTCCCTGCCTTTACACCCATAGGTGCCTGTGTGCCCCTGCTGTCCGTGCCAGCCTGGAATGTTCCCCACATTTTAACCCTCTCTGCCCTGGCACCCCACGTCCTGACCGCTCCCCTTTGTCCTCATCCCAGGCTGCTCCCTGCTCTTCCCCTGGGGTCCTGGTCGGCTGGGATCTGCCAAATGTCCGTTCTCCAGGAGGTGCGCCAACCCTTTAAAAAGAACATAATGAAAAACAGGCTGCTGGGGGTGGGGAGAGGGCCGATTAATCATCAGTTTCCTCCAAATAGCCAGGAATGAGTGGGGCTGGGGCCTGCTGCAGCCCGCACAGCCCGGGAGCTCAGACGTTGCCTTAAAAGGAGAAGGAGCCCAGCATCCTCTGGCCTGGGATTTCTGTGGAGCAGGACCGAGAGGGCTCCTCAGCACATTGCAGAGCTGCCGCCTTCGTGCTTATCTAAGAGGGCGTCCAGGCCGACGGCTTTTGTTTCTAGAACAGAGGTGCGGCCCGGTGACCTCTGGAGGTTATTTTTGCCTGTGTTCTTGTGCTAAGTCTTGACCTTTTGTCACTTACAGCAAAATGGGTTTAGGTTGGATATAGTAAAGGACTTCCACGGAATGCAGGTGCCTAGGCCTCCAGAGGTGAGAGACCTAAGTAGAAATCCTACTGGAGACGCCCTCAGGGTGGCCCAGAAGTCTCGCAGGAAGGCAGGGGCACAGAAAGAATGACCTTGGAGAGCCTCTGGTGGCCCATGACACACAGAAGGCCCTAGATTGGACTCAGGTGAGAGCAGCTCCTTGGCCGTCTCCTTCCAGGCCAGGCCGCCTGGTGGTGCTCTGTTCTGGGTCGGTCAGTAGGACCCAGGTGAGCAGCACCTGGTGATTCATTGGCAGAGCACTGCGTTTTCTCCTCACAGGGGCCTTCTGGTCCACTTCCTCTCAATCCCACCTGATGGCGGGGGACGGCTCACCACTGCCCGGGCTCAGAGGAGAGGAGGGCTGTCTGTCCAGAAGGCCCCTCCACAGCAAGACCCCGCCAAGGGTGAGGTTCTAGGCCTCTGCACACAGACTCAGCTGCCACTGGGTGGCCCCTGCCAACCCCTGTCAGTCATCGCTTTCCTTCCTGCGCCTGGCACCTGAGGAGATGTCCCCACCCGAGCGTCAGCGTGGCGAGGGAGGCGGCTATAGACAGACCCTGGGAGCTCCGCTCACAGGGACGGCTTGGCTTGCAGAGTGCCCTTCCCAGCCACATCCTAGGAGGGGCAGAGCCAAGGAGGGCAGGCGTGCCTGACGATCACACCCTTCACATGTGACGGCACTGTCCTGAACACAGCACATCTGTCCCTTCCCCACAGTAAGTCGGCAGCGACATGGATTCACCTGGCTCAGTGCCATCTGGCTGTGCTCCCCTCTTCCCCAAACCAGGGCTTGGGGACCCTTTTCCTAGACCTGGAGACCTCAGGGCTCTAGCACCTCAAGGAGTGGATCCAGAGCTCACTGGAAGATGCAGCCTTGGCCTGCTTCGTGTTTCTCCCGAGTCAAGGTCACCATTACCAGGAAACCTGGGGCAATGTGTGACGTCTCCTCGATCAACTCCTTTCCACCTTCCTTCCTGGTTCTACACCACGCCTCAGAGGCCAAGGTCTCATTCCTCTGCTTTTCTCATGAAACCATCCTGGCAGAGGGCAGAGGCCCTGGCCCCATACCCTCCTGCCACCTGGTGACCTCCTGGTCCCGGCAGGGCAGCTGCCAGT